ACACACACACACACACACACACACACACACACACACACACACACACACACACACAAATATGTTTGTCTTAATAAATCCAATCAGCCCTTAGATTCACCCACAGGAATGGTGTGACTGAGTTGACTTAGTATTAGTTTGACAGGACGCAGGCTTTGAGGAGGAAGTTTAGGTGGACCAACCTTTTCAAACACAATGGCTGCATTGTATTTCTGCACAAGTGGTTTTGAAATGACCTGGTAAAACAAATAGAGAGGTGTAATTCATTAGTGAGAGTTAAGAAACACGTACGGTGAGATCTTTACTTTGATTCACCGGGGAAACTGGGAGAATTCAGACTGAGCATGTGAGGTGCAGAGAGAACGGAGGAAAAATGATTAATGGAGTAAAATTAGGATTTGGGGTCATGGATGTTTACCTCAGCTGTTTGCTGCCCATTATGCCTGACCTACAGGTGGAAGAAAATACATCAAATAGTGACTGTCAGCGGCTCTGGTCGGTTGACATGATCGATACAAAATAATTACACAACAAAAAGACGTACCTCGGGACCGAATTTATGTGGCCGGTTTTTCAGGGCGTCATACAGGTCAAAGAACCAGCCGTCCACTTCGTCACTAGACGACACAGGAGCATATTAAATAAATCATTTCGTTTTCTCTACAAACTATTACACTCAATTTAAAATTCAATTCTGAAGTCAAATAAGTGGAAATTGTGACATTTAGCAACAAAGCGGAAGGCAAAGCCATTATCAGCTGATGGACTGTTATTAAAGAGGAAAGCAGCATCATAATTTAACTTTGATTGTCAGAAATCCTGAAATAGTAGATGGTGTAAGAGGGGGGGAGGGGGGGTTGTTATGTGACGCACTGTCTAAGTCGCCCTTGGTTACACCATCACTGAATTTCAAATTAAAGCAACTCGTCTATTTGCTTTGACATTGGGACATACGTAGAGGCTTTTACTTCATCGAAATATTCAGACGAGGTTTTTTCAGCTGCACATTCAATCAATTGAGTTGTTATTGAATTGTATTTATCTGTACAGACCATATTTACAAATCACAATTTGCCACATATAGGGAAACAAGGTGCGACAAGGGTGATGCCATCCGGAGTAGCTACTGTACAAACGATGCATCTTTGAGGTGAGATGTAAAATCGTCTGCATAAAAATAAAAATATTCCTACAACTATTCACCTCTATTTCTTTATTGAATTGGCTGTTTGTGGGGTGATAATATAAGCAAGTCCTCTGCATGTGTGGTATGTCACGTGTTCTTAAAGTAGTGTCAGAAAATGAATTGAAGCTGACAGAGAAGCGATAAATTCAGACGACTGACCTGTTGCCCCCGACCAGGAAGTAGTCCCGTCCAGCAGCGCTGATGTAGAGCACGCAGGATGGGGAGCACATGAAGTTCTTCTGGATCCATTCCCATCTCTGGTGCTGCACAGGGTTCACGTTCAACAGTGAGATCCTGAGAGAGGGATACAAAAGATTTTTGGGTGGTTTTACTCCTTGTTGTTAAGCATTTTGTAATATTGTTAAGAAAATGTTTATTATTATCATTATTATTATGAATACATTTTTGTATTGTTATTAATTACCTACATGCTGTGTCTGTTTCATAATTTGTTTAAATGCGTAAATGTTTGATGACATACTGTTCCAAGTCTATCTCTCCGAGTGGCTTCTCCTTTTCATCTGCACTCTTGAAGTACTTCAGCTGATGTTCATTGCTGCTGACCTTGAACAGCACAAAGTACCGGTTCTTCCACGATTTCTGTGGCAGAAACGTAATAAAACACGTGATGAAATGTCATTTTGAAAAAAGTTAAATGTGGCGATACATTGGATTCATTGTCACCTCTGACTTAAATCTTTTGGAGGGAGGAGACTTGTACAGATACCCAGACCTGATTTGCGTCACAACGACTGGACTGTAGACCTTAAAAGTTTTGCCTGAGGGCAAAAAGAAAAGCTGATTGTTTGTGATTGTTTGTTTTGATCCTGCCTTTGTTTACAGCACATATGTGTAAAATACATTTTCCTGTAGGCAATACAAAAAAGAACTCATACAAGGAGGATGAGCAATGTGGAAAACTGAAAATCCTTGTTAGGAAAAGCAGTTTAATATATGTCATTAAAACTCTCTGACCATATAGTGATACACTACCTCTGGACTTGTGGGATTTATGCATCGTGACAACAAACCTAAACAAGAAAATAACACATGAATGCATCAGTCCCTTCAAAACAGCATACAAATATCCAGAGGGAAGTAGGTCACTTATTAAACTTACAGTGTACGATTTTACAAATAGACTCATGCGTAAGCAGAGAAGGAAATAGAGCTCAATTCGCAAAAAGAAGCATTTTAAGTTTCCGGCTGAATA